TAACAATCGGATCGATCAGTGGGATTACAAAGACTTTGAAGTTAGAAGCTGGGCCAAGAAAAGTATTTTGTACGAAGGCATAGATTTATATATATATACATATGTGTGTGTGTATGTGTGTGTGTGCGTGTGTGTGTGTGTGTGTGTGTGTGTGTGTGTGTTTGCGTGTGTGTGTGTGTGTGTTAGTGTATGTGTGCTTAGTACCACACACAGACCAAAACTCACTTGTCGCTGTGCTGCAAATTTAAATAAAACGAATTTCTACCAAGTGCTCTTCTCCTCGATTCTCAAAAATGCATGTGGGCTCTGGCGTTTTTCATGCTAACTTAGTAGTGTAGCCTTTTTTTTTGGCTTTTTTTTGGTGTTTTTTTTTGGTGTTTTTTTTTTGTGTGTGTTTTTTTGTATGTATGTATCTTTATATGTATGTACAAATATATGTACGTATGTATGTATGCATGCATGTATGTATGAATGTATGTATGCATGTATGCATGTATGTATGTATGCATGTATGTATGTATGCATGCATGTATAATTGTATGTATGCGCGTATGCACAAATATATTTATATATGTATGTATGCATGTGCATATGTAAGTATTCGTGCATGTACACATGCATGCATGTACACATGCATGCATGTTTGCATATATACAAAACAATCATGCAACATGTATGTAAGAACATGCACATGTATAATATATGTATACATGTATGTGAGAACATGCATATGTATGCAAGTTTACACATATATATGTAAGTATGTATTCATGCATGTACACATGCATGCATGCTTACATATGTACAAACATGTATGTATATGCATGCAAACTTACAAATTCGCCCAACAAACCGTTGAATCGCATTTCTAACGAGGAAGCTTAGATTCTGCTAAAAGTGTAAAACACATCTCAAATGATTTTTCGTATAGATGCCTGGAAATGAATTTGAACACGAAACGTGGCCCACCAAATCTTTGACCACCAATTCCACCAAGGAGGAATGCATTGTTCGAGAATGAAACACGCCTGAATTGAATTTGAGCAAAAATCTTTGAAAATGATTTTTAGGCCACATTTGCGGGTGGAATTCCGCGAAAACCCGAAACAAAAGGTAAGTGCAAATTTTATATATATTGAGATATTTCTAGACAGCCTGATAAATGATCTGATTTCTCCTGACATTTATTTCGCATAATTAGTATACTCAATCCTGTTGGTCTGACCTTTCACATCTGCTGCTCTTCTACCCAAAAGCCCGCACTTTAGTCCAGTTCTCGTAGTCTAAGTAGTTGACCCAAACGATCTATTAAAAAATTGACCCACGCTGCCAATTAAGTTAATGGCCGTGTAAGCGATTTTGAGCAGCAAACATTTACAAACAGGCGACAGCAATTGGATGTTTAATGAATTGGCCAGGAGCCGGCCGGGGGGAGGAATCAGTGCTGGAGCCAGAGCCAACTGTGGCCAATGCTCCGGCTGCCTTTCTACTGCCAGCAGCCGTTGGAGCTACAAAACGAGTAGCAAAGTCGCCTGCCAAAGGTAAATCGAAGCCTGAGATTAATAGCGATAAGCTATTGATTAGCCAGCCAGCCACTGCCATTAGGAGGCACTGCGACACTGGCAGAGGGGCAGGGATGGGGCGTGGGGTCTGGGTTAGGGTAGCGACAGCAAACAGTAAAGTTAAATTGTAGACGATCCACTCTAGATGTTATCAACAGCTCGGCCGGGAACAGGTGCTGTTCGGCTCTGGGGTCTGTGGTCTGTGGTCTGGGTAGGTGTTACATGCATGCGATCCGCAGATAACTCAAAGCGAATCTCTGATGATGCCGGATGCCAAGTGGAGAAGCTGGCCACTCTCGCTGCAACGAAAATTAAGCGCACGCTGGCAATTTGCATAAAAGCAGTTTAATGTTTAAATGTTTTATTGAATCGACGCTCGATTACAAGCAGCCAGCTGGGCGAGGGGCAGTTGAGGGGCTTTCTGTTGCTGCCGTTTCTAATTTGCAATGCAAATGCAGCAGGTGAAGCTGCAGCCGTAGCCCCGTAGCCAAAGCTGAAGCCGAAGCTGGCGCATCTTTCAGCTTGGAGTATCTGTAACGCCATCGGGATGCGGCTGCAATTTGACTAAACTATCTGACCGCATATGAGAGGCCCATTTGTTGTCGGGCTGTGTGGCAAGAACGGGTTTTTTAATTATAAGAAAGCAAAAGAAAAAGTATACTGATCAAAAAAAAAAATTGTTAAGAACAGCTAAGTGCAAAGTGCCGCAAATTGAATACCCTGACGCGAAATACACTATAAAGGAAATATTCGTAGAAAAAAACTGATTTTTCTAGCGATTTTTTCTATATGAAATGTCAAGTTTGGTCAAGAACAGAAAAGTAAATCATACAAGAACTTAATTTTCGAAGAATCTTTTCTTCCATGATATATGATTCTATGATCGTTCCTCCTGTGATCTTTCCTTCAGGCTATTGCTAGGATTTGACTTAAGTGTAATTCATAAAATCTTTCCTCCTATGATCTTTCCTCCTATGATCTTTCCTCCTACGATCTTTCCTCCTATGATCTTTCCTCCTATGATATTGCTGGGGTTTGACTTAAATGTAATTAACTAATGTCAAGTTTGGTCAAGAGCAGAAAAGTTATGCATACAAAACTTAATTTTCGAACGATCTTTTCTTCCATGATATATGATTCTACGATCGTTCCTTCTGTGATCTTTCCTTCAGGCTATTGATAGGATTTGACTTAAGTGTAATTCATAAAATCTTTCCTCCTACGATCTTTCCTCCTACGATCTTTCCTCCTATGATCTTTCCTCCTATGATATTGCTGGGTTTTGACTAAAATCTTTCCTATAATACATATACAATACATTTCCCCCTCGGTATATTTATACCTAACATAACATATATATATAGAATATATTTCATGATCATGTGAAAATACCCTTTGTCAGGGTATATCTGGAGAATTGCATCGATAGCTTATCAGGTTGCGGCTTGTAGCTGGCTGAAATGGGGCCTCCAAAAGCGTTGGCCACAGTTGCCGAGGCCAACGTGCCAAATGGGCACCAGATCAAGGCCCAGAGACAGTTGGCATCCAGGTGCTTGGCTTGGAGTCGTTGGCACGTTGCACGTAGCACGTAGCACGTTGCACGTTGCACGTTGCACGTTCGCTGATCAGTTGTCAATCAAATGCGACGCAGATGCTTCACACTCAAGCCAGAGAGAGGGAGCTCATCATTAGTCGGAGAAGTAGGCACACATTGAGGCACGTTTGATACGCGCCGGCCATGTGGATGGCTAGGCCTAATTGCAGAATTGGCAGCTGCGATCTGTGGACTCCAGCTAACGATTGCGGGCATATATCTATCAGAGTTGACTGTCAGCGCGAATGTAAAGTGACGCCTGATCTTGAACTGGTTTCCTTTGCCATGCGGTGGGTCCCGTGCGTCAATATCCAGCTCCGAGACATTCTCTCTGGCGCAACCTTTCCATTCGAATTCTTGACAACTTTTTGGCGGGCCCTGCTGTGTTTCATTTTTGGGTCTTAGCCACATGCCGTGTGGTGTGGATTTGTTTGTTTGGGCCGCAGGAAATCATAAATTCAAATCGTTTGTTTGACAAGGCTCGTGAAATATTTCCATTTTGAGCCGCCGCCAACTGAATTGCGCTTGGGCATTTATGGCCGTTCACATTTGCCCGGATCGGATAGAAGTACATGACATGAGCTACATGTGCGCCACAATTAGTACAACATGCAACAACAACTGGAGTCGCCTCCAAGCGGCAGATGCCTGCTTGGCCCGATACCAAAAGCCCAAAAACGGGCATCTCCAACAAATGGCCAACAGTTCATGTTCAACACGGAGCCCAAAATTGGCGTGCAGCGTTTAAATGAGACAACGTGTTCGGTCTCCAGATCCAGCTACAACTGCAGCTCAATCTCACGCGACACGCTCATAATTCATAAACTTGGCCATTCGCATGATGCTGCACTGCAGCTGGAAGCTAATAACTGGAGATGCATATACATACATATATGTGTATGTATATATATTCGTAAGTATGTTGCCGCAGCTGGCCTCCCTCTCTGAGCTGGCCATCAACACCCAGCGCCAAATGGTGTTCGTGTGTGGCCATTGACACACGAGGCGCTGCGGCACAGCTGGATGCGTCCTCCACCCGAAACGCAACAGTCTCTGGCAATGGCAGCTGCAGTTGCCGCATAACTAGAGATGGCAGCGTGACAACTAAATTATGATTGCTTGGAGCATATGCTGTAGATTTATCTGATCTGAACTGCTGCAGGAATTCTCTAAGAATTCTCTATGAAAGTCTCCAGCAGCAATACCTTTAAACTAAAGCGAAGTTTCTTTTATAAGTTTCTTAAGTTGAGAACAAGGTTGCTCTCTCTCTCTCTTATCCCTCCCTCTCTCTCGCTATCTCCCCCGCTCTCGCTCTCTCCCCCTTTCTTTCTCTCTTTCTCTTCCCCTCTTTACCTACCTCTCGCGGTCTATCTCTCTTTCTCCGTCTCTCTCTTTTCTCCTTCTCATTCTCTCTCTCTCTCTCTCTCTTATCTCTCCCTATCTCTTGCTCTCTCCCCCTCTCTTTCTCTCTTTACCTATCTCTCGCGGTCACTCTATCTTTCTCCCTCTCTCTCTTTTCTCCCTCTCATTCTCTCTCTTTCTCTCCTGCGGACAAGGCCGGGATATAATCTATTAATCTTAATCGTTTTCAGTTCCTCTTACTTCAGCTTTCTCTCGCATTGTCCGTTCCTAATTTGATCTCCTTTTCTACTTTCACAGGGTTTTTTCTCTCTGCTTTTCACTCGCTTGCTTTGTGCCTCTTTTCAAGAACGCCTTTCTATGCGATTTTCATAAAATCAAGCTATCTTTTTTTCTTCATAGTGCTCAAATAAACACATGTGTGTATATCCTAGGCAATTGGAAATAAATATATCTCCCCTCTACCAATTCCAGCGGAACATGAATTCGTTGACGCAGTTAATTTATTGCTTTTCGTATTAGATTTAGCTATGTACTAGACATCGTCCGATTCACACACTTTACAACTTAAATACTAATAGCAGGGTTCGTGTTATTTGTTTTAGTTAATGTTATCCTTAAGCTCTAGGATAATTAGATCCAGACGGGTCGCTGCTATGAACGCACGTTGCCCAGCAGCGGCGTGCTCTCGGCAGCCTTTGAGGTAATTACGGTATGGCGCGACCCACTCGCCGGCGGCTGTGGGCGTGGCGGCCTATTACTTGGCCCCGGCAACTGTTCCTCGGCCTCATCGATGCGCGACTGGCGCGCCAAACGTTTCTGCTGGCTAAGCTCGTGCATGTAGAGCGCACTAAGGCACATGTCCGCGACCGTAACGCCAATGGGATTCTTGGCCAGACGCGGCTCCACGCCGTACAGGCTGTAGAGCAGCGAGTCCGATGGTCCCTCGATGCGGCCCTCCGCCTTGCTGAGACGCAAACGCCGCATGCTGTCCGCCGGACCCATGCTGGTGGACATGCGCCTGAAGCTGGCGCTGCTCATGGGCTCGCCCAGATTCTGTTGCAGCATCTGGCGGAAATCGCTGCCAGCAACATACCCGGCGCCGAGGCCAGCGACAGCTGGCTCGCCGCGGCTGGCGGATAGCGACTGGGAGAGCTGCAGTTGCGCCGGACTCACCTCGGCGGCCAACACGGAATTGACAATGGAGGAGTACTCCTCGCCAATGTTGCCGAATGAGATCAGGCTGTGCGTGAGCGGATTGTCGCGTGCAGCCGCCTGCGGCGACATTTTCGCCTTGACCAGCTCATCGATGGCATGCTCCCGTATGCCCTTAATGAACTGTGTAGCCTCCTTGGGCATTTGCCACTCGGGATTGTTGAGCGTGAAGCGCACCAGCGACATTTCCGTCTTGCCGCCGGCCAAGCTACGCTGCTGCTGTTCGTTGCCCAGGCCAGTGGCCAAGTCAGCCAGGCCGCTGTTGTTGACCTGCCAGTCCGGATTGCCGTGCTTGCGCACATCCATTTGGGCAAAGGAGCACACGTTGCCCACGCCGCGCACAGAGACTGCAAGAGAAAGGCATTTCGGTTATGCATATGCATGACCAGGAGGAGTTGGACGTACCTGTAAAGCTGCGGAAGAACTTGACAATCTCCATGGCCTTCGGCCGGAAGACAAAGATGAGCACAAATGGTGTCACAATCGGACTGAAGATCTCGCTGAGTAGATAGCCCGCCTTGAACTGAAAGAAATTGCTGAACTCGTTGCGCACGTGGGCCGTGTGCGCCTGCTGCTTCCACTCCGTGGGCAGATAGTGTACATGGGCCAATATGGCGGTCATCAGCTGCTCGGGACACCAGATGAGATTCTCATCGGGTATGAAAGTGCGGCAGATGACGCCCACAACGGTGAGCACCGCAATGATGCTCAGCACATGCTCCACCTGGAAGACGTGCTCATCGTATATGCCAAAGACCAGGATCAAAAGCAGCACGCCGCCGCTCACGAACAGCAGATTGCGGGCAATGACAGCGGCCAATGGCGAGGAGAACGAACTCAAATAGCGATCCGCATACTCGTAGGCGCGATTCAGACGCGCGTCCAGCTCATGATCCAGCTCGTTAAAGTGCCGCAAATAGAGGCGTCCATAGTTGGACCAGGTGCGCAGACCCAAGGCGCTCGGCTCCTTGCGCAAAATGTTCGCATACGAGAAGCTAAAGTAGATGAGCTGCCACAGAAATATGACCGGAGCGAGCAGTAAATTGACCAAGGCCACGCCCAAAATCAGCTTGGACAAACGCTGGGCCAGCTCCGTTTGATTGCTGCGAACGGCGAACTCATCCCGCAGCTGCCAGTTATTCTGAAACGGTGAACCAGGTCCGCGAAAGAGTATGAAATCAATGTTGAAGAGCATGCCACGGCTGAGCGAGACAATCTCCCCGAAGAGCGGCAACTGATAGCGCACGGGCAACAGCTGCTTGTTCATAAGGGCGACCAGATAGTTCTTGAAGCGCAGCACCCGATGATAAATGTCCAGTTCGGTGAGCAGCTCCTTATCGATGCACATATGCTGTTCCGCCTGCACCTGGCGCGTGCGCTGCTGTACATCGTGCCAGGTGATATTGTCCAGATCGCAATCCTCAATGCCCAGCGCCGTGTTATAGAAACGCTTTATGTCCGCATACTGTGTGATGTGATAGATCATCTTGAGCAGCCGTATGCCCAGATAAATGGCCGCTATGAATATGATCAGGTAGGTGAAGAAGCCAAATTTGGCGACGCACTCGCCCGTCGACAGGATAACATCGCTGAGCAGCGTTTTGGTGCGATTCGTCAACGGATCCGGTTGCTTGTTGCCAAACAGCACATCGTGCCGGATGCAGTGCGTCGTAAACGTAAACAGCCAGACAACAAAACCGAATTCCAGCACCTGAAAAATAGTTGGGTTAAATCATTTGCCTACAAGTCAGAGATTTTACTCAAAGTCCAGTTCGGTTGACGCTCACCTGAAACACCTCGTCCAGCACGATGACACGAAAGCCATGCTTCTGCTGGTAGTTATACATGCGGGAGAAGAACGAGTCCAGATCCTCGATATGATTCCAGCGATGCGATTCCCTGCCCGTCTCGGGCACAATGTGTATCATGATGCCGCTGTTGTGTGGCGTATCCTCGTGTTCCTGCTCTGCGTCATGGTCAGACGCATGGCCACCTAAATGCGCAGCAGCTGTATATGTTTTTGCGTCGTCTGCTTTTGTTATTGTTGCCGTTGTTGTTGCTGTTGTTGTTGTTGTTGTTGCTGGTGGTGGCTCGTTGCGTATTTGTGCTTCGCGAAATGGATTTGCTTGCTCCTCAGTCAAGGAGCGATAATTAATATTTGGGCTTGCCATGACGCACACCCAGGCCCCAAGGTCAATTGTTTTTGTTGTTTGCTTATTTTTATATCACTGTGCTATCTATCTAGTATAGTTTAAATGAATAATTCGTCGTCTTCTTTGTTATTGAATTTGGCTACTGTTCGCATAACGCGTTCTATATAAATGTACTAAAGAAATACCTAAAACGCAATTTGTTGGCCACATTCTTGGTATTGAACACACAACAGCTGGTCACTCAATTTCCAGAACACCTGATGCATAATGTAGCAAAAATGCCTATTTTCAAGCTGCAAGTCATTTTTATGCTTAAAAGTATGCTGTTTCGTTAGTTACTCATTTAATGTGGAGTCTTTTTGTTGCATGTGGAGCAAATCTGTTAATTAACATCACAGTGCGACGCCATTCAACAGCAGTCGTAGTGGCAACGCCAGACCCAAGTGTCAACTTGCTGCAATAGAAATGTTATACACTATCGTTAATCGCACATCTCTAGTTTGAACAAAAAATGCAAAAATAAGTACACGAAAGACGTACAGTCATTTTAATGCTCGGTTATTAATTGCTCGTGTTTTGTGTTATAAAATAAAGAAACTATTTAAAGGATTACTGCCCAGTTTATTGGTGTTTGTGTAAACTCAAAGAAGTGTTAATTGTGCACGCGAAACGCCAAAGAAGTCCACTAGGAAGAGGTAAGTGGAAAAGCGACGCGCCGTACATACATATAGAGAAAAAAAGGCAATCGTAAAGAATTTGTCACCAAGAAGTTGCGAATGTGTTGCCCTGCAATAATACGATTTTCGCATTACATTTATAGCATTGTTGTGTGTGTGTGTGTGGTGCGTAATATTTGCCCGTTCCGCTGGCTTGTATAAAAAGACATCAAATTTATATTGGTTTTTCATTTGCGTCCGAGTTTCTTGGCAGGCACAATGCCAATTGCAGCCCTTGTGCACTGTCTGTTTCCAAGTTTCGTGGCTTCTCTTGGCTTTCCATTCACAATTTTAACAACCACCATGCAAAAGTTCTTGGATCACAGAAAGCATTTTCGACGTCGACTGCGCTGCCCAGCTTATTTGCTGTACTGTTACATGCACCCTCTCGCTTGCACTTGTGCGACGCTGGCGCGCCGGCTTCTTTCCGCATTTAAGTGCAAAGGCGTCGCAGTCGGCGTCGTTGTTGTCTCTTTGCTTTTGTCTCTTGTTTTGTTTTTCTCCACGCGCCTTTTCGCTGGCTACCGCGTGTGCCGGCAACACACACACACACACACACACACGAACACACGCATTGTAACTTCATTATAGTGTAATTTAGTTTTTTTGTTGTTGCCTTTATTGTTGTTTTCGAGTCGAGCTGAGATAAAATCAAAACAAATTGTTTACTCGAAATAGTAACTCCCACGCTTCGCTAAGCCGCAGAGTTCATCGTGCCCGCGACAAATATGGCAAAAAGCCGCAAATAGCCTAACCTATATTTTATGCAGAGTATTTGCCGTTATTGAAGACACCTCGTTCCTCAGCTCAGCTCAGCATCAATCGATCGATTGATTGATCGATAATAAAGATGTTAAGCCTGTTATCGCTTGCAAATAAAACGCAATAGGGCACGTGTGCTCGACTCTCATATACCCGCACCTTACATGCTCGTAAGTGTGAGGAGAGGCAGAGCAAGGCTTTGCTGCTAATGTATAACTAGCATTTTACAACACTTAACTAGCCATGTACTCTATTCGTGCGCTTTCTCTGTTTTCAAACACTTGTAGAAGAGTTTAATTAAATGAAATAGCCAAATTTAAACTTAAAATTAACTTAAGAATTATATTTCATGTGAGAAAAAAAACTACTTTTCTCACGAGTTCTCTTTTGGATCAAAACTCTCATATAATATGCCCATTGTAATCGCTCTCGGGACGAGTATAAAAGTTGTTGCTCACACAAGACGAATGAGTTTTTTTTTGACACCTTCTTCGTCGGAATCGTCGTTACGTTGCCATTTTAGTTGATTGGAATTTGGCTTAAAGCATGTTAAGCAAGAAAATCATAAAAAAAAGCTGAAAGCTGAAAACGAGCTCTTTAAAAGAATTGACTTTTGCTTTTGTTCCTGTGGATTCCAGTTTAGCGCTCACTTTTATTTGCCTTGTTTGGTTGTTGTAGGAGGTAGGGATAAGGCGGGCGGAGGGGGAGGCGATGCCAAAGCTTCCAAATTGCTAATTTGTATGGCGTGCCATGTTGTGTGTGTGTGTGTGTGTGTGTGTGTGTGTGTGTGTGTGAGCGTTCCTTTTGCATATTTTGGCAGTGAGGCAATCTACAAGAGTGCGCCAATCGCTGAGATTGTTCTCAGAATAAATATATATGTGAACATCTACATATGTATGTATTTATCTCTAAATCTCTATTCGCGCTTCTCTCTCCCTCTCTCACACACACGCGCTCACCCAATAGACCGCATGTCTATGGCTGTGTCTGTGTGCTCGTGTGCTCGTGTGTGTTTGTGTGCGCGCGCGTGTGTTTGTGTAACGCGTTCATTGACATTGAGCTAAAATCTCGTTGTTGTTTATTGCAAATAAATTTTGTATTTTTATTATCCGACTACATTTGCTCTCTTGCTATTTCAGAGAGCTTAATATAATTGAACAATGCATAGAAGTAGAGCTCTTCGAGTCCGTTTTATTATATGTCCAGTGTTGATTAGTGTCGAAAAAAGAGTCTGTACAGGCATGTCGTGCGTTGGGACTGTCCGTTTCTATGCGAGCCTCAGTGTTGAACAACAAGCTTTTGCTTTTCACACTCAGCTAGTTATGAGCTTCAAAATAACTCCAGACATATCTGCAAAACCGTAAGCCTTGTGTGTTAGCAAGGGTATTTAAACTTCGGCTTGCCAAAGACAGTCGTTCTTCAAGTATTCTTTTTTGGTTTTGTCAAGAATGTTGTTCACTTTGTAATTTCTTCTATTATTTTGAAGGCTTTAAAGTGCCATTTTATTGTTGCCGCTCGTTTTTCTTGTTAACAAACATACAAACACAGATCAATCAATATATATATATATATATCTAGACGTATATATACTCGTTTGTTGTTGTCCTCGCTGTTTTTGCTGCTTTACGTTTTTGTGACAAGCCGAAAAAAAAACACGTTCAAAATTCGTTGACCAAAAAAAAAAAAAAAAAATTGTTTCGTTTTCATTAAATGAAATTTCTCTTAGGCGGAGGTGTTTGTTTCGGCCTATATACTCATAAATAACATACCAGCCAGCCTACCCGAAATCCCGCCATGACAAGCCTTTTTCTTTTTCACGTTGTTGTTGTTGCTGTTGTTGTTGTTGCTTTTTAGTTGGCTTTATTCAAACGTTGTGCTTGTTTATTCATAAAATATGAGCTGCTCGTATCATGGAATATTTATGCACTTTTCCATTGCTGCAAATGCAATCAGCTTAACTTTAATGCTTTTCTCCCAAATTATCTTCTCCTTTTTTTTTTTGGCAAAAACAGCTGCAACAACATTTTGGCCAGCTACTTTGCCCCTTGGCTCTCTCAGCTGCATTTTGTGTGTTTCCTGATTTCCCCGTAGGCCCAAAAGCTGCACAATCGTTCTGTGGCTCACATATGTCCATGAATATGTACGAGAGTTGACTTTCAAATTTGTGCTTTCAAAATAAAAACAGTTTATTTATTGTTGAGGCTGTTTTAATTGCTCTCCAAAACTTATTTGAATGTGTTTGTGACAAGCTTCAATCATTGAGTGCTTGTCAAATTATAAGTTATCAAATGTATTATCTAATTTATGCTGATGACAGCATGAAATAATCAAATATGAAAAAATATATTACTAGATAATAGATACAATATTGCGAGCTATCCACAATGTCAAAATATGGTCATATTTACCTTAAAATATGGTCACATTTTTTCAAACTAAAAACAGAAATTGCATCTATATAAACTATATTTAAAGCAACTCTCTTTTTCTTTTGGCTTTCAACATTAAACTACGCTTTGCATTTGAGATAAACATTTTTGCCCGCATTTATGTATTTCCCATTTCGTTGCCTGCACACATGCGGGTTAATTGTTAGTGTTGTAAAGTACATTTGCAGAGATTGCCAGTGGTAAACAACGACTATGATTTGTTCATGTGACGTCACAAACAGACTTAAACAACTTATTAATGCCACTTATTAATGCCACTTTCCCTGGGCATGCTTAGCACCCCCTTCCTCGGCCCTTGACCCTCTCCCTCCTTGTGCCGCCTTCCGCCCCCTTGTGAAAACATGTTTCGTTCAAGTATTTTTGATGGCTTTTGTCTTATTGAATGGCATCAGGCAGCAAAACATAAATGGTTGTTGTTGTTTTTTATGCTAATATTCGATGGCTGAAAAAAACACGTTTCCAGCGAGACGACAGGCCCGAAGCCTTGAGCTGCCTTGCAGCGTTTCTTGTTTTCCCATGACATTTCGTATTGTTGCAAATATTTATGAAAAATGTGTATATATGTATGTGTGTGTGTGTGTTTGGTATTTGTTTATTATACAATCATCATCCTCACTTGCAATGTCTCGACACATCACGTTTGTGCCATGGCAATTACACTGACAGAAAATACGTGTGCATAGCTACAATTGATTCGCAGCTGATTTGATTGCTTATTTATGCGTTTTAATTAAAGCAATCGTGAAAACGAAAACGATTAAATTGCTTAAATTAAATATTTATAGGTTATAAAACGGGTTATTCGCCGTGTTGAACCACGAGTAAACCAATTATTGAAAGATGAACAAATGTGTGTGAAGAGGGCTTCTGCTCAACTAAATATATAGTATACAGGTTCTTGATTGGACTGAAGATACGGCTAAGTCGATGCGATCTGCTTATCGATAAATATCGATATTTAGCTAAGATTTTTTGCTCATATCTTTGAGCTTTGCAATTCCAACTTGTTGAAGCACGAGTTAACAGAATATTGGAAGATGAACGAATGTGTGAAGAGGGCTTCTGCTCAACTATATATAGATATAAATTGTAAGTCGTTTGGGCCATGCCTACCTATCGATAAATATCGATATTTAGCTAAGATTTTTTGCTTATATCTTTGAGCTGTGGAATATCCCTTTGTTGAAGCACGAGTTAACAGAATATTGGAAGATGAACGAATGTGTGAAAAGGGCTTTCTGCTCAACTATATATAGATATAAATTGTAAGTCGTTTGGGCCATGCCTACTTATCGATAAATATCGATTATATTCTGTTAGAACAAGTTTTCAGGACTTCGCCTTGAACCTCAAAAGAAGGATGTATTTGTAAATTTAGAACTTGAAAACTGAGTTCTTTTCAAAAGTGAATAGGTCTGAGGGAATTTCGGAACTGTCGCAAGTTTCATTCCCGCTAAAAGATATTGTATAAGAACTACAGCTGATAATAGAACTCGCTTATTTTGAAATGCCCATAAGCTAAACGAAAAACGTACTCTCTAAAAACAACTACTTTACGATTTTAGCAGCTTTTTAGCTTGTGATGGCGGTCATGAGATAGCAAAATAAAGGCGCATAATAAGTCAAGATGCAAGTGCCGCATGGGGCAAAATTTCTAGCTATTTTTTATGGCGCAATGTTTGCTGTCAGTGGTTGGGTGAGGGCGGCCACACGTAGGAGACGTGTGGACTGGAGCTGGGGCAACTGCCTTTCAATCGAAGCCTCTTA